GGAGCCGGGAACCCTGCCCGAGCCGGAGAGGCATCCCCTGCTGAGCCCCGAGCGCCGGGTGAGAGGAGGGCGCGCGCGGCCCCCCACCCAGGGCCCCGACATTCCAGACCCGGCCCCGTAAGGGCACCCCGAACGCGGCCCCGAGATCCCAGCCCAGGACCCGGTGAGAGAGGCGCTGGCGGCCAGCCCCCGGCCTGGCTTCCCCCCACCCTACCCCCACTCCCATCCCCATCCCCACCCCCAGGCTCCCTCCCAGGCTCCTCCGCCCGCCCCCAGCCAGCCTCCCTCATTGTCCTCGCTCGCCTGGGCCTCGTGGCGCTCAGAGGTGCTCGGTTCTCGTCTCCCCTTTGCCTCGGCCCCTGCCCCACATTCACTTCCCCAATCCACGCCCCCCACCCCGGGCTCCACACCCACCTGGGCTTTGCTGCCTCCCCCATCCCAGGGTGCCACGTGTTCAACCTCCCAGCCCCGCCCAAAGGCACCCCTCGGTCTGGCCGCCAGCCTGACCCAGAACCCCTAGCCCCGAGGGAGGGGTGGGGATGTTTGCACGTGGGGCTGGGTGTGAGCTCCCGGGAGCCTGGACTTATGGCTGTGTAAGTCCGGGCGCAGCGGCTTTGTTGGTGAGTGTGTGACTTCGTGTGTTACTGTCACTGGTGTGTCTGTGGCTCTGTACTTCTCTGTGTGTCTGAGTGTGGGTGACTATCGCTGGGGCCAGGGGTGTCCATGAGATTCTGCCAGACTCACCCTGTGGCCTGAAGCACTGCCAGAAGTGGTTGCTGCTCTTGAAACCCCGGCCACAGCCATCGCCCAGTCGAGACCCCTTCTCACTGAGTGCCGGCTCCTGTCTCCAGGGCCCTGAGCCCCTCTGCCAATCACAGCCAGCTGTGCTGGGCCCCAGTCTTAGGGGCTGGTCTTGAAGTCTTAGCTGAGGGGTCCCCTGTGCTGCCCAGAATTTTGACCTCTTGCTCCAGCGGGGAGAAAGCCCATGAACAGCTTGTCTATATTTGGGCCCCTGGACACTGAGGGCCATTTCCCAGCCTGGTCCTAGTTGGCCTGGCCTGCTTGCGGCGGGGACCTGAGTGACCAACCCACTTCCCACCATGGCTCCTGGAAGGACTGAGTGAAGTCATGAGTGTAGAGTGCTTCTGCACGGTAGGTACTCAGTAAGTGGTCCCCTTCCCCTTTCCCGGCCAGGAGTCCTGGGTCCAAGATGCTGCCCTGTGGGGTGTCTGTTCCCTGGGCACAAGTGCACATGCGTGTCTGTAGGTTAATGTGCTTCCATGCTTAGGTGCGAAGCAGTGTGATCAGAGTTCATGTGTCCGTGTTCCCCGGACAACTTGGCCGCGTGCGTGCCGAGCTGTGCAATAAGGGTGTGTACCTGAGCGTGCGTGTTAGTGAGGACAAGGAACGTAAGTTTGTGGTTTAACATGGGGTCATGCCTCAAGATGTGTGTGTGAGCACTGAATTGCCTGGGGCCAACCTGGGTGTCTATAGGGGGTCTTCAGAAAGCTCATGGAAAATGCGTATTACCGAAAATATGTATGTGGACTTTTTTTGTACAAAAATAAATTCATACTTGAATGGTATGTTCCATGAACTTCTTGAAGTCCCCTTGTGTCTACAGGTAGAATGTGAGTGTGTGTCAAAGGGCACGAGTGGTGTGTGTGAGGACGTGGGTCCACGAGTGTGAGCAGCTGGGCAGGAGGCGGGCAGGAAGCCTTGCCATCCCACCGTGATCTGCTGGGTTCATTTCTCTCCTGCCCCGTCCAGGCCAGCAGCCGGATGCCCGGGCCCATCGGGCGGGCCAGTGGCCGCCTGCGGGATGAGCAGACTGCTGGGGGGGACGCTGGAGCGCGTCTGCAAGGCTGTGCTCCTTCTCTGCCTGCTGCACTTTCTCGTGGCCGTCATCCTCTACTTTGACGTCTATGCCCAGCACCTGGCCTTCTTCAGCCGCTTCAGTGCCCGCGGCCCTGCCCGTGCCCTCCACCCGGCTGCCAGCAGCAGCACCAACTGCTCTCGGCCCAACGCCACTGCCCCCAGCTCCGGGCTCCCTGAGGTCCCCAGTGCCCGGCCCGGCCCCACAGCTCCTGTCCTGCCACCCTGTCCTGACTCGCCACCTGGTCTTGGTGAGCCTGTTGGGTAGGGCCTGCCTTTAGGGGTGGGAAGAGGATTTTACCAGTTTGGGGGAATGGAGTCTGGACCCATGGGTACCAAGGGTCCAGGTCTGCTGAAGAGGGCTATTCCTGGAGTTCCTTGCCACTTCCAGGCTGCGGGAGGGGGCTGGTGTCCTTGGTCCTGGCAAAGGCCCAGACTCAATGGCATCCTGCCTGCAGTGGGGCGACTGCTGATCGAGTTCACCTCACCCATGCCGCTGGAGCGGGTGCAGAGGGAGAACCCCGGCGTGCTCCTGGGTGGGCGCTACACCCCGCCCGACTGCACCCCGGCCCAGACGGTGGCAGTCATCATCCCCTTTCGACACCGGGAGCACCACCTACGCTACTGGCTCCACTATCTGCACCCCATCCTGAGGCGGCAGCGGCTGCGCTATGGCATCTACGTCATCAACCAGGTGCGCCGACGGCACCCTGCCTGGGCACTGGCCACTGGAGAACCGCATGCACCTGTGGGTGTGCCTGCTCTTGGGGGAGTGGGGTCCGGGTGTCTGTAGGGATATGTGGGGTGGCACGTTGTTGTGGGTCCTTGTCTGCTTGTGCTGTGTGGGCGTGTTCGTGCACAGGGCATGGGGGGCACGTGTGTGTGAGAAGGGGCGTATGGGGGTAAATGTGGGCACACTGGCGGATATGTGCACAGCCTCAAGGGAGTAAGCCCCAGTGTGTACCTTTGGGTGGCCCTCCCCTGTGGTGGTGGAGGCCCACGATAAGCTGACCAGGCAGAGGTGTTGAGGGCCGGAAGAGGGATGAAGCCTACAGAACCTTGAGGGGCAGGTGGCAGCCATAGCTGAGGCTGGGGACTCAGCTTAGTGCCTAAGCCCTGTGTGGGTCTGGCTACGGCTGGCCACTGGGTCTCACTAACCCAGGCCTCCCTCCCCATGGAGAATGCTCAGACTTAGACATGGGTCCTGCAGACTCCAGTAGGATGGCGTGAGACTAGAGTGAGAATGGGGGCCAGGGGAGCAGCCCTGGGCTTGGAGAGCAGTCGTCAAGATGGGTTTCAAGGATGAACAGGCATCTGCTGGAGGAGGCATGTTCTGGGCAGGGGGCCCTGAGGAGCCCTGGCCGAGTGAGAACTGGTCTCATGTTCAGAACTGTCGACTGAGGCGTGGGGTCCAACGCATAGGCTGGGTCACAGCGATGAGGCTGGAGGAGGCCCAATCAAGGCTCTAGGGTGACATGCTGAGCAGGTGATTCCAGCCTGACGGCGGGACACCA